TATATATATATATAGCCCTGCTACTATTTTCACTGCCCCCACAGAGGAATAATTAAATTTGTTTAGTACAAATTACAAAACACAGTATGTCTTATTACACACTCTTGCAGTCCTGCCAACTTGATGGAATAGGTCACCCAAAAATATTCATGAGGAATATATTCAAGCCAACATAAAACAGTAATTGTAAGCATTTTATTTAAATTATTTCAGGTTTTTTTCAAGTTTAATGCTGATTTAATGTTGAGCAGTGATGCAGAGCTGAATTATTTTTCACCCTTCTGACAGAGAGCAAGCGAACGATCATCATACTGAGTGCAATCCAAAATTACCTGCACTTCAGAAAGCAGAGGATGGAAATTATTGCTGACGACCAGCAAAGTTTTGTAAGATGCTGTTTTTAATATTTATTTGATGTCCACGGTTTAGTCAGCTCAAAACATTTGATGTGCAGATTTCATTTTTCCATTGCGAGTATGTTCTTTCTTGGGTGTAGGCTATTGAGCCTGTACGTTTTTACTCTGCAATACTGTGTTGTGACAATTCACATTAAATCAAGGCCATAACATTGTTTTGCTGACTTAGTTTTTTTGTTAAGCAGCGGTCTTATAAGGACCGAGTCAAGGCATACACAAGAGAAATAAAGGAAGCTGAGAAAAAAAGTGAGAAACTGACGTAAGTGTGTGTTTTCTCTCTTTAAATATGTCTGTTTTATTAAAAATGATGCTTAATTCTGAACAAGACAAATGTTTCCTTGACAGCACCATACCGCCGGAGCAGCAAGCAGAGGATAAAGAGCTGGACGCCGCTGTGGCAGAGCTGAAAGCTAGCGTGCAGCACCAGTACCAGGATGTGGTGAGCTGGCAGGGGGTTTACATGCATGTGTACCTGATTCTGTGCATACTGTTTTGTTGCATAAATTGCGTTTTGACCAAGTTCACTACTGACATGATGCATTAAAGCTATCCCATGGCCCAGTGTTTCGCAGGGCTTATCTTGCATGCTTTCCCCCCTTGTCTTCTTTGTGTTTGACTTTGTATGTTCTCTCTTTAGAACGCAGTGAATGAAACGGTTTCACAGTGCAAGACTGAAATTGCTGAGATGTCACAGAAACTGGTTTGTATCAGATCATAAATTTAAATGGATCAGAGTTTATTCACAGCTGTTGCATGAGGGTTAATGACGTGATGTAACCGGAGTAGTGACAGATCGTTTCTTCTGTGTTGTGAGGTACGTCTGAGTGAGACCCGTCTGCCAAATCCACACTAATATTATTTTTAACATGGAATAGAACTTGTTCATTTGTCGCTATTCTAAGACACTGAACCTAATCATATCAATACATTTCAAATCACTTAAGCATTTAGCTTGCAACCATGCAGTAAAATGACTTCTTTACAGCAGTGGTCAGCAACAGGCCACCAGAACTGACCCGCCAGCAATAATATCTGGGAAGTTATAGTTCTCAAGGAATTTTTGTTCCTTCTAGATACTGAATATTTTCAGCTGAAAGCATGA